GCTTGAGAATAGTAACCGCCCCCCATAATAGAAGACCATCCCCTAATAGAAGACCACTGCCGATTATATGACCTGAAAGTCAAATAGAAGACCATGGTCTTCTATTATGCCCGCAAAAAAAATCGGAAAATGCCCTATACCGGGGGCATAGGGGAATTTTCAAAAAAATTTCGCCAAAAAGTACTTCTAATAGGGGACGGACTTCAAGTACGTGAGGTTACCGTTGGACTACTAGCAAGCGACAAAATTTGACCGCAATAGAAGACCACCCTTTAGAACTTGACTTGAGAGACAAAACAGAAGACCAGGCGGTCTTCTATTATGGGGGGAGGGGTTTAGAAAACATTGTTGTACTTCGGAAGATTTTTAGAAAACATTTTCAAAAACTAAAATATTTCTGTTGGCTTTTACAGCTGTTATTGAGCTGCATTATATCGAGCAGGTAAAATAGAGTATATCTTGATATTCTGATGTAATTTGGGTGGATCTTGGCTGGGTTATGAATTTTTTAATTTTACTCCAGTATTAGCAGAAATGGGTTATTTCATCTAATACAGGCTTTTGCAAGTGTTTTGAAAAACAAATACTGCCGAGATTTAGCATGGGAAATTACCTATGCTATGTTTTCATTTATTTTCGGAATTGCCACACCTAAAGAAATATTGATTCTGGAACTCTCGGGAAATCCGATGCTTCGCCTGAACCAGACAAAACTAAGGGTTTATTTAGTTCGCATTTTGCAGAGGACACTTTGGACTATCTATCTATGATGGAAGATTGACCTATTTCTATGTCAGAGAGTAGAGAGAGAGAGAGAGATCCAAACTGGTTTTCCAAAGATCTACTCAAAAAACGGTTTTTGAATCATTTTCAAAAATCACTGTTGGCTGTAGAAAGATGTCTACAGACCTTCGCTATCGAATGATGAAAACTGCAGGTTGGTACATCTTTTGCTTAAAGGGTTAGAAGTAAAACTATGGACTCTCGTATTCATTGAAAATGATTGTACCTTTTGCAAAGGTTCTTTTAAAAATGTATTTCTATATATAATCGAGTATATTGTATGTATTAGAGCCGTCGGTGCTTCACGAAGGCTTTTCGCACGATGTTACATCTTTTCCTCATCAGACATGGAGAAAGTGATATGAATGTACAATTTGAAAGTACGATTGGTGGAAGAGGTTCATTAACACCATTGACTGATCGCGGAAGGTTGCAAGCTGAACAACTTGGAAAACATCTGGCAAGAGAGGCGGCAACATTTACAGCCATGTTTACTTCGACTGCAAAAAGAACGCAAGAAACTGCAGGCATTGCACTTTCTCAAATGGTAACGTATATTCCTATTTTCACGTAACTTACATTTACACACTTTTTCGTGTAGAAAGCATACGACAAAGGTCTACAAATAATCGAAAATATTGAAGAATTATCACAAGGAGAATGGGAAGGAAAAAATCGTCAAGAAACTTACACTGATGAGATAACGGCACTCATAGAGAAAGATAATTATAATTTTGCTGCTCCAGGTATTTCGACTTTCATTTGAGAAGATCAGTTAATAGTTTTTCTTCCTCTCTCAGGTGGAGAATCACAGGCACAAGTTGAAAAACGAATGTTAGACTTTATAAATGACCATATTCTATTACAGTTTGATCCTAAACAATCTCTGAAAGTAAGTTTTGGGATAAAATATAGCAGAAAGTGCGACGATATTTTTTATTTTTCAAGTTTGGCATATTTGGACATGGATTTGCATTTAAATGTATTTTACGACATATTCTGAACTCCGACCCATCGATGACATGGAAAATTCAACTTGATAATACGTCTATCACGGAAATTGCATATTCAGTTAGAGGATGGCATATTATCCGAGTGAATGACATTTCCCATCTGAAAATTTAACGTGAAGTCTTGACAATTTGAATATAAAAGCTAGTTTTAAACTTGTGTTTCTTTACTTTTGATTACATATCCATTCTAAAACTGCAGGATTATTTTATTGCTAGTACACTCTGTCCTTGCCAGGCATCGGTATTTTAAACTATATTGAACAAGAATACATATGAATCTTTGAATGATATCTCTTCGTATGGGGTCGATGACATGATGGCTCCTCCGGTGACTAGCAGATTGAATATATAGCATTATACTATGACGTTTAGATACATTTCGGTGAATCTCTCGCGAAGAGTTTACCACCATAAGTTATGAAAATATTATTGAATTTCGAATGAGAAAACCGGAGTTTTCGGCTGAATGAAAAAAAGCTTTTGTGAAAGCTTTATTGTAAGGTGAATAATTAAAAAAACAAGGGATCTGCAAGGTAAAGATACTTTTTGTCTTTCACTCGTCTTTTGTAGCGTTGTTTCATTTTTGCATTAGCTGCACTTTACTTTGTTTGATACAAGCTTTGAATAATTCCTTCTCGTCCCAAAACTTTTTCTAAATCTTATCGATCAACACTTGTTGTATAGCCACAGGAATAAAAAGAAAAACAATGGTATAGAAGATGGGTAAAAGACAGAAAGTATCTTTGCCTTCAGGTCTCCTGCTTTTTTAGGTAATAAGGTTTTTACAGAACCTGCTGGAAGAGCACCGGAAAAACAAGGCTGTTGTCAAATTAGGCGACAGACTTTGACGAAGATCGATCGAATATAAAGTGAGAGATCTAGACAGTCGAGGATTATTTTTTGCAGATGAATTTTGCAAGGTATTTTATGTAGATGATGAATTAGACTGTTCGAAACCTTAAAAACAAAGGTGAAAAGTATGATAATAATTGCAGCTGTTTTGAACTTCATACCTTTATTTGTTGATATTTCGACCTTTAACCGGTCATTTTCAAAAACATAAACAGAATAACTGTACAAATAATGAAAACAACTACTTTTTTTCTGTATCCTTACTACGAAATACAATTGAACGAAAAAGAGAAAATTCAAGACTAGGCCGATACTAACTTTATATTTGCGCATGTATAAAAGATATCAATGACCACATTATCTATACAGTGATGTGTATGTAGTTTTATTTTTATTGTAACTGACTTTTTCTGGTGGTATGAGTCTTCCGTCTCCAGTTGTTTTCTTTTTCTCTACACCGACATAAAGAGGAACTTATCACATTTTTGACTCGAAAGTCGTTGCCCTCGTACAGAGATTATGACTACTTCGTTTGTCGCTTCCTTTATTTCAAGTTGTTCCATGTCGTTGTTTGATGACATGAAGGGAAAGTTAATAAACAATTTGAGATAATCTTTTTTATTTTGAACAGTAATAATACAAAACTACAGTATAGCTAAACGGAATATCAAGATCATATTGAAACTTTCTTTTATCGTTCAGCTAACAAAATGTAAAATCTAAAGAGGTTCAAGACAGACAAGGTTACACATGGAGAGAAGTATAGATAATAACTGGATTCAATAAAAGTTTAATATACGTATAATAGGCAGTTCTCTGTCCGCCAGTTCATAGGATAAGAATCTTTTCTTTCTCTTTGTCTCTCGTTTTTTAACTTCATCGATGAATACTCAAATTTTTCTAAATGAGTATAATATGAGTATTATGATGACGATGACTTGGAAGGTTTAGACATCTTTCATCGCTTTTCCTAGTAATAATCTTTTACAAAGGATCTGAGTCTAACTCTTGTTATTTGTACATAATTAAACTTTTTTTGAAATCCAGTTATTATCTATACTTCTCTCCGTGTGTAACCTTGTCTGTCTTGAACCTCTTTAGATTTTACATTTTTGTTAGCTGAATGATAAAAAAAAGTTTCAGCCTTATCTTGATATTTCGTTTAACCACACTGTTGTTTTGTATGATTACTGTTCAAACTAAAAAGATTATCTCAAATTGTTTGTTAATTTTCCCTTCATGTCAATCTGAAACATACATCTCTGCTTTCCTG